GTTTGGTTATGGAGGCGTCTGGCCGAGTGAGTTGCTATCAACTTGACCTTTCCAGGCTCTGAAGAAGGCGAAATTCGCCGAAACGTCAGTTTAATCGTGAACAAAGAACAATAACTCCTCGCGTTTGCTCAAAAAAAATACGAACAAAATCACTTGAGGCGATTAATGTCAAACAAGCATAAGCAAACAAACTAGCTGAGAGAACGTGCGAGCAAGGATCGTGGTGGTGCAGTGGTTAACATGTGATCCCGCGGAAAGGGTAATCCTGGGTTCGAAGCCCGACTGAAGTTCCAAGTTTTGCTCACATCTCACCATCATTGTGGTTGTATTTCACATGACACTCTGCCATAAAAAAAACAATAGCAGTAAACAAAAGCTAAACGAGCAGAAATGATTCCAGCAGAACACGGTAGCACTCTCCATTGCATCGTTCGTGTTTTTGCGGCTTTTGAATTTCCGCTAAAGAATTGATAAATAAGCGTAGCGTTGATGCGAATACCGCCTCCACTTACTAGGGTTAACACCGAGATACTGTAAACTTGACTTCCTTGAACACTCTTTACATTGATCTTTCTATTGAACCAACCTCTCATACCTTTCTCATCCCGTACTCTTAAATGTCCTCATGCATAGATGTGCAAAATTAATTCATTACCACGTAATCGAGTTCCAAGAGTCTTCTGTCAAATACCTATGCGCTAGATATGCGACTCAAAGTTCCTGTACCAGGAAAGCAAGATACATAAGGCAACATCCTGAGATTTCTCCAACAGGGTGAGTCACCCAGAGAAACAAATTCTTCAAGGAATTCATCACCTTATACGAATTGTTGTCCCTCTAATAAAGCCATAATATTGCTGAAATTATTGGAACCCCATACTCCAGGCTAGATTCGAACCTACGACTACCCTTTCCTCAATCGTTACCCACTGCACCATCGATGCCCTAGCTTTCCCTTTCTCTTAGCCAGTTTCTCATCTTAGTGCAGCCATCAGCAATCACCCTTCAACGGGAATGATATGGGGAACCCAAATCAGCACTGAGCCCAGTTAAACTGGAGCTATTGTCGAAATCACAATGTTTGACCTTTTATGTACTGCCTATCATTTTTCATAGTGAGATATTAAACGAGATACAACCGCAGCGATACTAAGATTTACTTCTGCCTTCCTTCTTCCCACCAGTGTCAATATTTCTTCATTTCTCTCATGAATTGATTTTTTGCATTGAAGTGATCAAAATTTCCTCAAAAGAAAACCACTTCGCTAAGGTGCTATATGAGCGTCATGTTCTCTTTGTAAGGACTTGGATCGTTTCTATGTGAAAATAGCGCGACTAGGTGCTTCTTATTCCCAGCCATTTTAGACCTCTGGGTAGCCTATTTTCTAAGATCTATTAAGATAACTGAATGAAGGATTGAAGTAACCGACACAAATGTTGAGATAACCTACGAAATCTAACATTCGCTGAATTTTGCAAAATACATTGTTTCTGTTGGACAAGCTCTCGATTGATTACAGGATTTGTAGGAAAAACGTTTAGTGAAACAAAATAAACCATCAGAAAGACTATGACCCCTATTTGGTTAACAACCACTAGTCTGCGCGCTGCAATATGAACGCATACTGTCTGCAATGTGTTAAACCTCTACTATCATAAAAACAAACTACAGGCAATCACTATGGGCTATCACGTATCTCTAGCAGAAGTCGTTCTGGCCTGTATCGAAACGGACCTTTCAATGGACCTCTCACACTGTCACTGGACATTTATCCTACCGAAGCAGTTAACGTACAAATTTGCATCGACAATCTTCAAGAGTAAATTCATGCTTCATAAAATTATTCACTATACGGTGTCCACCTTTTACGAATCAGCAAACCATATAAATTTCAGATGTCAAACCCTGAAGGTCTTATCCAGATTATGGAATCGTGCAAGAGCAAAGATAAATGTTAAGAAAGCCTATCGGGTGAGATCATTGTGCTTTAATTCCAAAACACCTATTATAGATCGAGACCTAGAGATAAAATCTTGAGAAGATACTGTCTATCCATAAAGTGACTTCTGAGCTCTTACTAATGCACAAAGTTAGCGTTCGAGTCCCAGACAATTTTGGTACCAATTTTCCGACCCCGGAGAGACAGAGAGCTTTATTTGTTCGTGGACGAGGGATCGAAACAATGACCAAGTGTGATATACCTTAAGTGCAACTGCCAATTTCAGATATTTATTCTTTTTCTTAATTTGTCCAATGAAGACCAAACAATGGCAATCGACAATGTCTGGATGAGAAGTGGACAGTGCTCAATGACTAATTAGCTGTCCTACTGCAGTTTCCATAGACCGGTAGATCTCATCAATTTATTATTTCTGTTGCTTATATCACGCACAAGTAATTTGTCGATTAATATAGTACTTTACTAGCTATAATGCTCTCAATAGCCTTACACTTTGATCTTGTCATCTAAGAAAGAAGAAACTCTTCTGGTCATTGTATTCTTACTTTGTAATGAGTAACAACAACTGCGAAACACGCGGGCCTCGTTCTAATTTTCTCCTTTTCACATGAATTCGGTGCAGTTTGTTCATATTCAGGAACTATTAAGAAATGAAGTTTTAATGCACACTAGGAATCCTACCGTTTATGATGCTGTGATATGGCAGAGATTATTACAACCGATATGGATGGTTTAGATCCATAGCATTAAAGTTCAATTAAGATTACAGACTGAAACGTCACCTTGAGAAGCAAACAATTTCACCTCGAAAGGCTAATAAGAGCTTGGAGAACGACTAAGGCAGGGCACATTTTCGTGGCATTTAGTCAACAATACAAAAAACAAGGAAAATCTCTCAATTTTAGAAGAACTTCCGTCCATATATACATAACAAAATGGAAACCATGTAGAGCAAAATACAGCGCACGAATGAAAACCACAACCTGAATCATGGACATCCAATAAAAAACTTAAACGTTGATTACCCGATATGTTGGTCTCAAAGAATTTCAGCAGAAAGAAGAATGGAACCGCAGTAAACATCGCAGGTAATAGATAGCTAAAGATGGTGAGTTCTAAAAGTGGTCGCGAAAGAAAAAACAGCTATCTTTTGCCTCGTAGTAAAAGTTGTTCCAATTTTAGCACATGTTCAGGGATGAACAGATTCCTCCCAACGGTTTACCTCACCGTGACTGGGAGTTGTTCCTGGGTGTCGGACAGCGACGTACAGTGAGAGAATTCGTCCCCTCGGCAGGGTCTCCTAGGCTGAAAAGGAGTCTGGCGTTTCCATCAGGAAGCCTAGCCACGATAAACCAATACCAGGATCCACCACTGTCATGGTACAAAACTAGTCGCACAGTGGCAAATCTTCCTCTGACCCACAAGGGTTGCGATTGCCTGTGGCTGCGACGACCTGTGGAAGACTTTGGCCAGGCTGACCTCGGGACTCCAGGCAACCACAATGGCTAGGTGAGCAAAACTCCGAAAAAGTAGAAATTATGCTGGGGCCAGCACAATGAGTGAGGACGGGTCATCCAACTATTCACGTAGTAAAAATTAATCAACTTCAGAACAGTTATAAATAGAGTGAAGACTGTATTAGATCAATCTCTTTCAGAATCGAAATTTTCTGAAATTTGATTGTTTGCGTAGAAAACATACCACGGTCCCAACATTGACCGAAATTGGTTCCTTGAAAATGAAGAAAGCTCCGCGATCTTGTCGGGTGGAATAATTCTCAAGTTGCCACCAATACAATACACCTTCTACTAACCCACTAGAAGTACAACGTACCTGAAATGTGCCATTGAACCCACCCTAGTTTTAAGCAAACATACAAAACAACCTCAATTTTTTTCGACAGTAACTGCGTATCTTCTTCTCCCAAGTGCAAAAAAGGAAATTCTCCGGAGCAAGCTTGATATTCGAACGTTGCTAAAAACAGAGAAGACCAATCCTCAAGCGTTTCTGAAGGTCTCAAATAACTCACAAATATCAATATCCCTATACTCTAGGAGACTATACATCCGGACCGGAGATAAATCAACACCACATGAGGAAGACTGTTGTACTCGTGTGAGTTTTGATAGCCTATCCGATGCAATCAATACACCATGAGCAGAAAGGCGATCTAAAAATCGACGACATTCCCAGGTCAGCACGTAAAAATTTCCAAATAACAATCAATTCAAAAAACTTTGCAAACGCAATAAAACGGACCTAGCTGATGCAAAAACAAAAATGCAAAAGATGTTGCAATGACGCCCAAGATGATCATATAATCGTTTTACGTTTAAGATCAAAATCAAAATTCACAGCGGCTCCAAAACTTCCAATATTAGGAGACAGAGCTCCTCTCTAATTTCACACATTCTTTTTTGGCATTCACCTTTGAAATTCAACGGCCTCATAAACATATACAGTAACCATTCAAAGTGGTCTTATTTAGCCTTTACGCAGGCCTGCGGTCTGCATACCGCAGCTTCTATGAAGTCGCGTAGATAGCTGATATTATTCTCCCACCACGGCCGCATAATTTCGCTGTTCGTCTTACCAATACCAGTGATTTTCATAATCCTCACTTAATGCAGGTGCGTGTGACGCAGTGGTTGAGAGCTCCCTGCAGTACACATGGCTCGATCCCGGCGCCTCAGTCTCACCTAGCCTTCCATCTCACCAGGATCGGCAAATAGGTACTAAACTTATCTGGGAGGACAGCAGCACTGGCTCGATACATGCCATCATTTAGACTAATTCTCTCCTTAATATCTCCACAGAGCACTCTAACACTTCTCGTTTGAGAACAACCAAATTTTCGGTCCACATCAACACTTCTTTCCCCCTTTAGCAGCTTTATAACCATCTGGACAATTCCTATCGATGTTCAAAGGTTCCGTGCAATGGCTGTGGGAGAATCCCCAACTTTTACAAAACATGCAATGCCTTAACAATGCAAAAAAACGGTTTCACAGTTCATAAATGCAAGCCTATGGATTGGATTTAGTCTCCATGACATCTAGTTACAATAGAGTTTAAATAAATACCAGTGAGAAATCCACAATGTTTCAGTGAAGGCGGGATATCATTTCTGGAACGAAGAGACTGTAGTGAATTCAGAAACACCTCGCTAACAGATCCGTCAGCTCTGATTGGCCACACAATAATACAGAGGTTAGCTAAAACACGAACTTCAAAACGGCTTTTACAATTCCTTGTTAGCTCAATATCAATAACGATATCGAAGGAAATATACCATCACATTGACTCTTTGATTCGTCCATGTTTACATCTAGTGTTTCATCAATGTCTTTCAAATCAACCATGAAATGAGGTAGGTTTCTGAAAAAAACGTGAGAAAGTTGTAGAACATCTTCATCCGTCGAACAACGTACCTAACCACACTTGCTTCTTCTTCGCTAAGGTCAATGTCCAAATTCCAAGAGTACCTACTAACTGATGGTATGATGCGAGTAATCGCGTATAATAGCATGTCGTTGTTCATAGTACGATAATCACGCTCGCTCCGCAAAACCAATTCGCGATTAGAGGGAATCTTAAAGAACATAACATGCCCATGAACAGCAAAAAACTTACAACGCAGTTTATGGGTAATTGATCATAGCACTAATAGGTCAGTAACAAGGTTGAGAGAGGCGAAACGAGAGACATGCATGGTGTACTAGTGAACGCGTTAGCACCCGAAAAGGATAATGGCCCGTTCGGTTCTCGTCGCAGACACCAGCGGTCCGGAGTGTCGCAAACATTTCAGTATCATTATGACAACGGATTGTTAAAAATATTGAAGCTGTTTTTAACAATACCAAAAATGCGAACACAGAAAAAACGTTCTCATTTCTCAAGCTAACTAGCAACTTACTGTCAGCTTTTTCGATTTTCTAACTAATAACATGACCTATCTTTTGCATTTCCTTCTTAGAAAAATAGGGCTTCGCAAAGTCATGTAGTACAAAGCCAAAAGGATGCAGTCAGTTATCAGCCATCGTCTACTTTCTTAGATGTAAGACTAAAGTACTCATCAAACATACACTTTTCATTTTTTTGATTTGCTTTGAAACGACAAACGCTGGCTCAGAAAATCTACAAATTTCCGTACTGACCGACGAATGGATGAGACAGACCTCAGAATTAGTAGAAGAATCGACGGCTAAATCCAATCTAGTTCCCTTTAACATCCAATTTAAGATAACAGTCTCGCCTTGATTCACCTGAAATTCTACAGGTAAAGAAAAGAGACAGATTCGCACAACATTCAAAAACCAGAAATAACGCTTCGAACTTAAGAGGAACACTAACTAACACGCATTGGATATGGCAACGGAAATATGCCTTGCTCCCAGCAAGTGCTCTCCGATGTATCGAGGTATTGATCTCCCCAAATTAACGCTCTAAAAAAGTTTCTGATAATTGTACTACATTTTTTAGTGATCAACACTTAGAAGTAAATAACTTTGTTGAAAAAAGTACTCATGTAAATATCTTACTTAAAGTGAACTGAAACTGCATGAATTGTGCCGTCAGAAGTGGTGCGGATCTAAACACTACTATTTCATTTCAGATGCACTGCAATTTGTTGCCATCTACGATGATAGCAGCGAAAAACCAACGAACAAGGTAAAGACAACCTTAAGAACACCGGATACCCCATTTATAAAACGATGCAAATCATTCACATCGCGAAAGTCTACAGAAAAAAGTCGTTGTGATGATGAGAGGGGTGCCGCATCTGGTAACTCTGATACACGTGTACACCAATACGGCTCGGGCTGGTCTTAAAAAAAGCGGAAATTAGAAATAGAAAAAATAAAAATATGGAAAAAATAGAACATAAAAAATTTAAAAATCAGAAAAAAAATGAAAACGAGAAGAATTTGAAAATCTCAAGAACCAAAGAAATGGAGGATAAAAATAAAAAAAAGCAAAATTTGTATTAATATAACATTATGCGTGTATATATCTATTTTTCTACACATATGCATTACATACTAGTATGAACATAGACGTATTTTACATTGTACATATGAACATATACATATAGATGTGTATAGACATATATACATGTATATATATGTATATACTTAATATATATATAAATGTACATACACTATGTATAGATAAATTTAATGTGCCATATTAGTGTTTTCTTGTGCAAACACGAGGTTGTTAACAACATTTATCCCGTACGGCTTGACGAAACATAAAACATTGGAAAGTAAAACTCTCGAAACGTTTTGAATAAATTCCGAAGATCCAAAAATGAACAATTGAATTCAAAATGATTTTCTTGACTTGGCAGGCAAATTCCTCACCCATGCAGGATTCTATGGGGCTGGTCTTCAACAAGAACTATAATGCTTATAGAGAACAAAAGGATAAGTGTTAAGAAAAAGATGTTTCCTATGCTAGTGAAATTTTAGTATTGAGCTCTCTTCTACTTGGATTATGAAAGTGTTTGGCTGAGTACATCGCGCGTCAAAGTTGACCTTTCCAGGCTCTGAAAAAGGCGAAATCGCCTAAACGTCAACCAATATTTAATGAGTCTCGTTTTTAACACCCTTGTCTCAACTTACAAAAAAATATATATCAACGCTGACATATTGAAGCATGCCGAGGTTGATAGAAAGTAGGCATTGCACATATAAATATTGCACTACATGTAAACATTATACATGTATATGAATATGTATATGTAAATACATGTACTGTTGTATATATGACCATCAGAGGCATATGACCTTACTTCCTAGAAAAGCAAAACACCTCTGAAGACTCCAAATTAATGCAGTATTAGTAAACACATCTATGAATACAAATATACATACACATATATGTATATCTATAATATATATACGGCTCACCCACTACGGTTTACCACCTCATCAAGACTAGGTGTTCCTAGGTGTCGGTCTGCGATGTACAGCGCTGGGTTAATCGCTATACAGAGTCTCCCAAGCTGAGAAGGAGTTCGACATTTCCATTCGGAAGCCCAACTAACCAATAACAGGAACCACCACTTCTTGGAATCAAACTAGCCGCACAGTGGAAAATCTCCCCTTAGCGACTGCCTGAAGTGGTGACGACCTGAAGAAGGCTTCGGCTAGGCCAATGTTGGTACTAAAGGTGAACCACAATAGTTAAACTAGCAAATGTGAATTATGCTGGAGACACACAATTAGTGAAAACGGACCATCCAAGGAATCCAAGCAAACAAGTACATCCATACATTTATGAATATATATATATATATACATATATATATATATATCTATATGCATGTATGTGTACATATACATATGTGCACATGTGTATACATATACATTGCATATGTATAATATATACACAAAGAACAACGCAAATATAATGGCCCCCTTGATTAATGGAAATGGTGTTACTAAAACGGATCTCCCTCATATCAGGGACCCCGATAGCCGGTTAATCGCGAGGCTACGTGGCGCCTTCCCAGGTGGCAGACAGAGAGTTAATCGCGGATCAAAAGCGACCGCATGTTTCCCTGAGACGCAGATGGACCCAGGGGATGGATTCCCTGTTTCTGCTGCGCCGATTTGGCACATACTTTCTGTATTTACGAGGCGTATTCATGCACACGAGTGTGGGTGTCTTCTAGTTTATGCAGATTGTATTCTGAGTCAATTCCATCAAAAGCCTGCAACCAAGTGACAGGGAAGTATACGGGAGGTGGCTAGAAGTCGCCTCCAACGAATAAGTTCCATGTCCACTCCGTGAGGGCCTGGCAGGCTACCTGTGAGTATAGCCAGCCCCCATGTTCAGAGACCACCAAGCTACACGTGGGTATCAAAAAGACAAAAACAGTAGAAGAAACGGGCCTCATTCCCTTGAACCCGAAGGAGCCTCCAATTCGGCAGCGTTGCGTAGGACGAGTACGGAAAGACTGCTAAAATTTCAGTGCCAATGGAAGGTGCCTGGATTGTAAAGAACCAGGGTGACGTTCTGTACCTACAATGCACGTACATTTGCATCCGAGTCCTTGGTAGAAGACTTCCTCATGGTCACCAATTCAACGCCGTACGGCCAACACCGGAGAAGAACTGTTCCTTGGAACATGCGACAGCAGAGGAATCAGTGGCTTCCGCGTTCTCCTTAACACGAGCTAGTCCATGAAAATCGATTCCTTCGAACAACTAAATACATGAATCAGACGTTTGCGATTGAAGAGATGTGGCTCAATACCGGCTTTAACAATCTTCGTCGTTTATGCGACGACATCGAACTATGACGAAGAAATCCTCCTATGCGGACTTGGAGAAGTTCTCCAGAGAAGACCATACATTCTTCAAGGTCATCCTTGGAGATTTCAACGACAAAATTGGACCAAGAAGAACGTATGAAGAACGTCACATTAGGACCCACAGATTGGTATGGAACGAACAAAGTGAGCGGGTTCCTGAGTTTATCATGAAGACCAAGACCAAACACGGTACCTCGGAATTCCAGCAGCCCCACCCTCAACGCTGGACGTGGGAGTCTCTCAATGGAGCGTACCATAACGAAACAGACCACATCATAGCAAATAGAAGGCTTGCTTACCCGGTGTCGATGTTGTCCCAAAATTATACACGGTATCAGACCACCATCCCCTTCGCGCAAGATTTTATTTCTCGCAAAAAGGAGAAAAAGCCGCTAAATCCATAAAACGAAGCCCCAAAACCGCCATCAACTGGGACCTATTAAATTCATTAGTCGGCTGTTGGGAAGATGCCGCTGTCGGGAACATCGACGAGGAATACGATCGGCTCATTCAACATCTTCAGGTTAGCGGTATGAAAGCTGAGTTCGAAAGTCACCAAGAAACGTTCGTCTCCAGAAACTCTCGAGCTGATACGCCAGTGTAGAATCGCAAGAGCTGCAGGCAACGTCGAACTAACGTCCCAACTTGGAAAACAATATATAGAGCATCTTAAAGAAAGAAGAACAGCAGTAATGGTCAAAGATGCACGGAGGGAAAAGCATTTGCAAAGCCCACCGAAGCTTCGCCAATTACAAGACTAAGACGATTGCACTTCGACGTCCAGACGAAACAGTTACAGCGCCCAGAAAGGCAATGGAGAAAATCATTCACGATTACTATTCAGATCTCTTCGATACCCACGTCCACCTTCCGTCATACGAAATAAAGGAGGATAGATATGTTGTACCACCGGTTCTCTCTTCCGACATGCCATTTCGTCGGTGAAAAATCGAACGGCACCAGGTCCGAACAGGATAAGACCAGAACACCTGAAGAACATTCCACGATGTGAACGCTGGCTCGGCTCTTCATACATTACCTGTATGAATGCTAGGTCTCTGCTAAGTAGAAGACCAGCAAGACTGTGTTATTGTTCAAGAAGGGTGACCTATACGACAGCGGCAAGTATAGCCCAATCTGCTTGCTGTCTGTCGTCTCCAAACTTTTCACTCCAGCCATGTAAATAGGACTGACAGAACACTGAACGAAGGGCAGCCATGTGAGCAAGCACGGTTTCGAATAGGATTTAGTACAATGGACAACATCCACAAGGTAATTGATGTATCGCGAGAGTACAAAAGACCACTCTGTCTCACTTTCATCGATTTAAGGGCCTTCGACTCAACTGAGATAGAAGCAATCATGGAAGCCTTTGATGGTTAAGGAGTCCCTACTCAGTGCATAAAGATTCCTCGTGAGCTATACAAAAATTTCACAACCGCTTTTTTTTCATTTCAAAATTTTCAAAAATTTCACAAATATCACCATTCTACAACGATATTAACATTAACAACAAAAGAGGAGTTAGGCAGGGCGATACCATCTCGCCAAAATTATTAACTGCCACCCTCTAGAACGTCATACGAACATTGGAATGGGATAACATCATCTATATCACCTGTAGTCCCGTTCATCGTCGAGTGACTCGAGCGGGCGCCAGTAAATCTTCCATTTTTCCCTGCTGCGCAAGAGTAGTCCAGTGGGCTCTGCTCGCTCAAGGGACTCGTTGAGCATCATACCTTTCTTCTAGGCTCTTCGTGAAGAAGTCCACCATCGGGTCGGTGGGCTTCCTGCATATATGTGAAACGGGATACTCCTCGCGTCGTCCTTTCGACTGCGTGTTCGATAACGATGAGTGATCTTTCACCCTGCTTACGCAGCTACCAGATTTCTGACGCATACATTAGGGGAGGAAGTACCGTTAAGTCGAAAAGGTAGGCACGGAGTTGGGTGTTGTTTGTCCTCTTCACTATATCCTCGATGCTCTTGAAAGCTCCCTAAGTCGTTCGTTTCCTTCTGCTCGGCTCTGGAGCCAAGTCGTTCATCATATTGATTTCCCGACCTAGATAGACATAACTGGAGCATTCGGAGATATTCGTTCCGTTAAGCGTGAATGGGACATACGAAACCAATCCGTTCTTCATGAACATCGTTTCTGTGAGATTTAGTTGAAGATCAATCTTTCCACAGGTTTTATCAAAGCCCGCAGGCCTTCGTTTCGCTTAGCGAATCCTTGGTGTTATAAGGACGATGTCATCTGCAAAGCGAACCAATGTTCGCATGACGTTTTCGAGGATGGTGGTAAATAATTTTGGTGAGACGGTTTCGCCTTACCTAACTCTTGAAGTTAATGTTAGTATCCTTGTAGAATGGTGACATCTTGGTTGTCCTGCTTGCTCACATGGCTGCCCCTCGTCCATTGTTCTGTCGACTATGTTTAGACTCGAGTGAAAAGTTTGTCAGACAGCAAGCAAATTGGGCGATAGTTGCCGATATCGCGGAGGTCTCTCTTCTTGGACAATAACATGGTCTTGCTGGTCTTCCACTGAGTAGGGACCTTGCGTTCAGGCAGGAAACGTGTGAAAAGCCATGTCAGTCTGTTTACCAGGACTGACGGAAGGTTCTTCAGGTGTTCTGGTCTTATCCTGTCCAGACCTGGTGCTGTTCGATTTTTCACCCACGAAATGACATGTCGGATTTCGGAAGGGAGAACCGGTAGTACAATATATCCATCCTCCTTTATTTCATATGACGGAGGTGAACGTGGCTATCGAAGAGATCTGAGTAGTATTCGTGAACGATTTTTTCTGCTGCCTTTGTGGACGCTGTAACTGTTCCGTCTGGGCATCGGAGTGCAATCATTTTGATCTTAATTGTAATTGGCGAAGCTTCGGTGGGCTTCGCATATGCTTTTCCCAGCCTCTGCAGCTTCGACCATTACTGCTGCTCTTCTCTCTTTAAGATCTTTTATCGCCTGCCTGCATTGCTCTGCAAGTACGGACATTAGTTCGAAGTTGCCCGCAGCTTGCGCGATTCCAGACTGGCGTATCAGCTCAACATTTTCTGGAGAAAGATGTATATCGGCGACTTTCGAACTCTCAGCTTTCATAGCTCTGACGTGAAGATGTTGAATGAGCCGATCGTATTCCTCGTCGATGTTACCGACAGCTGCATCTTCCCAGCAGCCGACTAATGAATTTAATAGGTCCCAGTATATGGTGGTTTTGCGGCTTCGTTTTTTGAATTTAACGGCTTTTTCTCCTTTCCGCGAGAAATAAAATTTTGGGCGAAGGAGACGGTGGTCTGATCCCGTGTAGAATTTTGGGACAACACCGACATCGGTTAAGCAAACCTTCTATTTACTATGATTTGGTCTATATTGTTATGGTACTCTCCATTGGGTGACTCCTACGTTCAGCGTTGAAGCTGGGGTTGATGGAATTGCGAATTACCATGGATGGTCTTCGTTGCCATGTCAAACTCAGATAGCCGCTCACCCTCTTTGTTCCATTCAAATCCGGAAGTCGCAGTGTGACGTTCTTCAGACGTTCTTCTTGGTCCAGTTTTGGCGTTAAAATCTCCAATGACGACCTTGAAGAATTTATGGTCTTCTGTGGAGAACTTCTCCAAGTCTATGTCGAAAGCTTCGACTTCTTCTTCGTCATAGTTTGATATCAGCGCGTAAACAACGAATATTGTCAAAGCCGGAATTGATCCACGCCTTTTTATTGTAAACGTCCGATTCGGGTTGTAAGGTGTTCGAATGAATCGATGCTCATAGACAAACTCGTGTTGACGAGAACGGGGACCCCACCGACTCCTCTACTGCCGCATGTTCCGAGAAACAGTTCTTCACCGGTGCCACAGACGGCGTTGAAAGGCTGGTGTCTTCTCGTCTCGGCCAGGCCGATGACGTCGCATCTTATCCTTCCTGCCTGCATGAGCAAGTCTTCTATCGAGGACTCGGATGCAAGTGCACGTGCATTGTAGGTACAGATCGTCACCCTAGTTCTTTACAATCCAGGCACCTTCCATTGGCACTGAGATTTTAGCACTTTCCGTACACAACGCTGCCGAATTGGGGGCTCCTTCGGGTTCAAGGGAATGAGGCCCGTTTCTTCTACTGTTTTTAGCTTTTTGATACCCACGTATAGCTTGGTGGATTTTGGACGTGGGGGCTGGCTATACTCACGAGTAGCTTGCTAGGCCCTCACGGAGTGGACATGGAGCTTATTTGTTGGAGGCGACTTCTAGCCACCTCCCGTATAGTTCCCTTTTAATTGATTGCAGGCTGTTGACGGAATTAACTCAGAATACAATCTGCATAAACTAGAAAGCACCCACACTCGTGTGCATGAATATGCCTCGTAAATACAGAAAGTATGTGCCAAATCGGCATAGCAGAAACAGGGAGTCCATCCCCTGGATACACCTGCGTCTCAGGTAAGCAAAGGTCGATGTCCGCGATTAACCCCTACCCGAACCTGGGGGCGCGCCACGTAGCCTGGCGGTTTACCGGCTCGAAATCCCTCATATGAGGGAGATACGTGGATGGGATAACATGCGAGTGAAAATCGGTGGTCGGCAATTGCACCATCTTCGCTTTGCTGATGACATAGTGCTTATAACGCCAAACATTAGCGAAGAGAAACGTTTGCTTGCAGACTTTGATAAACCCTGTGGAAAGATTGGTCTTCGACTAAATCTCACAAGAGCGATGTTCATGAGGAACGGACTGGTTTCGTATGCTCCATTCAAGCTCAACGGAACGAATATCTAAGAACGCTCCAGTTATATCTATCTAGGTCGGGAAGTCAACATGATAAGCCATTCAGCTCCAAAGCTGAGCAGAAGGAAACGAGCGGCTTGGGGAGATTCAAGAGCACCGAGGATATAGTGAAGAGAACAAAGAACACCCGAATCCGTGCCTACCTTTTCGACTCAACGGTACTTACTGCCCTAACGTATGTGTCAGAAACCTGGTCGCAGCGTAAGCGGGATGAAAGGTTACTCAGCGTTATCGAACGCGCAGTCGAAAGGACAATGCTAGGAGTATCCCGTGTCACGCGAGGAAAGGGATCAGAAGCTCCGACCTGCGTCAACGATCAAAAATCAATGACGCTGTTCTGTATGCCAAACAGTCGAAGACAAGGTAGGTCGGATACGTCATGCGTATGAATGACAACCGATGGACAAGAGCCGTTAGTGACTGGATTCCTCGGGATGTCAAACAAACTGCAGGAATACCATCGACCCGATAGTCAGAGTTCTTCACGATGAACCCTGAAGAAAGATATGATGTGCGACGAGTCCCTAGAGTAAGCAGATCCCGCTGGGCTACTCTTGCACACGACAAGGAAAAATGGAAGGTTTACTGGCGCCCGCTCGAGTCATTCGACAATCAGCGGGACAACAGGTGACTACAGGTAACAGGTGACAGGTGTTACTACGACCTAGTGCCTATGATATGGAATTGACAACGGGTATACCAAACTCTTTATCTTCCAAAATGCTTGCTAGCTAACTCTTGTCTAAATAGCGCCCAAAAATAACCTTTCTCCTTGAGGAGAGCATGCGCCTGATACCAAACTCTTGTCAAACTTCCTTTTCCTGACAATGTTGTCCTTTCGAGTAGTATCATTGAAGGAGATTTGCACAACGAGCGCAACGAAGTGGGGAAAAAGTATACTAATGCAGATCAACCAAGATAAAACCCAGCTGATAAAAATAGGAAATTGGGCTAGCATCTCAACCACGTCAAGAATACTATGCACCCCGCCTGGCAGCGATTAAACGGTGTCCTCTGAAATATGACTGGCAGACACAAAGTCTAACTGGAATTCACATCTTCAAAATATATTCCATTTTCAAAATTTAGGTGATCACATATCGACAGCAAAACATAAATGGGTCGGTCGCATAATAAGAATAGGCGAGAGATGCACGAAAAGAACTGTAGAGAAAAATCTACGAGCGCGCAAGTATCCAATGATACGACTACCGACACAATGGATAGACGTGTTTGCGATCAAAATCGATCAGCTGCATGCGCATATGCAAAAATTTTACATATTAAGATACAATACTCGCAAACGCTATTCTGGAAGCAAATCAACACCGTGGAAGATGACAGCGGGGTAAAGCAGCTGATGGAAAATGTGCTGGGTTCAGGCACCACTCGTGAAGAACGTTCATTCAAGTGTCCAAGAACGTATATTACATTACAAAAGTGGTAGTGCTGACGTTCAATACGCACAAGGTTCTGGTTGGACCTCGCTTAGAGACGCCAAGAGACTCAACTCTCAGAGTCATAAAATTGGTACCGGACGTGTCTGTGATCAATTTTTTCTCACCAGTTCACAAATGCTGGCGAATGCAAGTGAAGGAGATCTGGGAAAGCCCTAGAAGAGCTATTCCAGGATTCCAGGGAGAATCAACTTGATGAGCACTCAACCAGAACAGGAAATTGCCCAAGAAACAACCAAACCCACGCATATAATCCAAAGATCTTCGTAGAAAACAAATGTGAAGAAATAAATTGGGCTCAAGAATTGCTGAGATCAACACAACACGTGATGTCGGCCCCTTTCATAAGTATATAGATGCACACATGCGTACGTGTACAGACATATATTTACATATATATATATATATATGTTATATATATATATGCATATACACATGTATAAGCACATATACGCATACGCATTATACGTAAGTATTATGTACTCATATACATATGTATATGAACATACACGTAGATATACATGTGTATACATGCATATGCATGTTTTACCATATATATACATATATATATATATGTATGTATGCGTATGTGTGCATATGCTAAATAGAAGAATGTGTTCGGTACTAGGCCTGTTTCTAAGAAATAAAATACAAGTAAAAATAAAAGCTCATGATACATTTAAAAGTAATAATTTATCTCATAATTATGAAAACTCCACGAAAAATTCGACGCATTAGGTCAAGTTAAGATTAAGTTAAGATAGTAAAAGCAAAAAGTAGATAACCCACGTTGTTCGCTACCAAAGTAGACGTATTCCGATCGAAATTCTTTACCAGATGGCGACGTAAAAGAATGACTCAAAAAAATGCTAGGTGACTCCATCAAAGTTGCAAAAAGTGTGACCTTAAAATGATCGCCAATTGCTTTAACCACGATATAAACCTACAAGACTAACGTGTTTAGACCTCTCACATTCGCAGGGATGAACCGCGTCGTACTTGTAGCCAATCGAAGATGGGCATCAAGAAATGTGGGTATCACTCCCTCGCCAAATGCGCAACAATCGAGTATTTCCGATACAACGATGTCGGCCTAGGTGACGCAGAATTGTGAGAAATAAATTGAGGCAAAAACTCTATGAAAGAAAAAGTAGCTTCGTCACTAATATGTAACATCGCTTATTAAGTCAAAACCGAATACACGATCAATAACACCCTCAAACATCAACACCACAAAAAAGTAAACACCGATACGGTAGATAGTTGAATTCACCCGATCTGCATCCTCAGGGTAGTAATTGAATGAGTAATCCTGGATGATCCTCGCATTCTTTACTCCATTAAGATTCAGTACTCTCTTAGCTAGATGATATAAGAATGAATTCGACTCGATAGCTGTTATTTTAGATGCGCCACAACTAAACAGACCAAATATTTAAAGGAAAATAAGGGCAAGAAAGTACTTTCTTCTTATTCCCATTCACTTGTAATAAAAATCACAATAACATGCTATAGTTGAGAGAGGGGCAAGATGAAGGACCTGCATGGTGTGGTAGTGAACGCGTTATGCCCCGGAAAGGGTAATAGCGTGCTCGATCCCCACAGCAGACACCTGCGCTCCGGAGTTTTGCAAATATCTAAGCACCGTTTTGGTTGTATTCCGCAATATTATTGCCGGAAACAAATTTATATCTAACGAGACTCTTTCTTCAACGATCTATGATCCGTACTGTCATTCAAATAAAAAACAAACACACCTAGCAGCGAACACACTTATGAGGCCGGTACCTGTGCCAATATCTAATACATGATCAGATGGAAGAACGGTGTTTCTTAAGGCATCCAGGAACTTTTCATTCCTATCCTGAACATGAACATGCTGATAAAAGGAAGAATCGTAACAAATTTTTTCTTCAACAATTCTCATACTTTATCATTAATCATCAGCATATGCCATTGATCAAAATCACAGCTTCGGCTGTTCGCAGATGAAACACGAAAGACGGCTCCCATTAGATCGCTACATTCAGCATTAATAGCTGCTTTCAGACAATCGTACGAACACATTCCAGATTCGCCATCATCTAAATTAACTTCGGAGCGTATAGCAAATGCGTTTAACAAAATGTGATATGTAAACGCTCAAAAGCAATTTGGACACCATAGTTTGAAAAAACGTCCTAATGCATAGTGGATTGGATCCATCGATAGAGTAACATTGGAATCTGTCTAATTTCTACAGTCCATAAACTGCGCGTCTTCCACTTATCTTTGCTAAAGCTCATATTTCAAACCGCTGCATGATTTTCGAATCGGGATTTGTTCAACAAAACAAAATCTTTATCACACTTCCTGTAATCTCAACTACTGTGCGGATCCTAGCACCTGCTGCTTTCGATTCATTTTCCTCGTATTCATTCTCCACAATGGTCTTCAACAACATTAGTTATTATTACTTTGTTATTTTGCCGGTTAATTTGGTTGATGTCTGAGGAATCTGTTTTCTTTCTGACTGTCGTGGAGTGCTGATCAAGCTGATCTTCACTGCAATCTTGGAGATAGCTGAGATAAAGTGGGCAGTGGTAGCACTGGCGACAGGTCGGGCTAGCGCTTTCGCTTCCCGATCAACGGCATCACTAACCACTGCGCTAACCCCCACCACCACCACCACAATGTGTCTACACATGTATATAATGCGCTAACTCTTGCCGAACTCTTGTTAAACAAATCCCACTAGCTGAAAATTTCAATCTTAAACACTTTTCAAACCAGAATAAGAAACATTTCAGAACACTTCGTGATCCCCATATAGCGATACAGAGACGTAAGTTCTATACATCTGTCAAGTTTGACACTCAAGTGCCACACGCATTCAACAGAACTGGGTGAAAATCCCGACCTTCTGTAAATTTGGCATTTCCAGAAACGTGCTCAGACAGAAGCGTTACGATAGGTACAGATTTCGGAAATAAATTCAGAATTGGAGCAAATAAAGCACTTAGGCATGAATCGGCGTTTCGAGAATAATACATCCAACTTTCCAGTACTGAACGGAACTCGTCGGCGAATTCAATTTCACGTTGGTCGATATTCTGCAGAGAATAATAACAGTGAACACTTTACTAAAACAATGAAGAACACCCTAAATTTCTGAGAAAACTCCACATAGAACCTCAATGATGCTGAGATATCTGCAAAACATGGACCCCAGGCCAGTAAAGGGTAATCGTGGCTCGATTAGGGCCCGTGGTCCAAGTTTTGCGAATATCTCAGCATGATTGTGGTTGTACTTCAGATCATAGCTTGTCGTGAAAACTATAGTAGGCATCAAATAAGAGGTTAACATTGTGAAAACTCCAGATAATTTTTATTCCAATATTACCAGCAAAACCGTTACTGTCGCAGCAAGAAGGTAAGAAGTCACGCAGTACATACCTAATCAAAACTTTACCAACCTGATAAGTGAACAATACAGTAAGATAATGTCGAATAGATCGATCCCACCAGCCTTCGGCCGCATATTTCCTCGCCAAATAAAGCGAATACTTCATGTTTATTACCTGAGTTCAATCAAGCTAACCCACGGGCTCACAAATAACCATTTCCTGAAGAGGATCGCAGTCGAAGAGATAAAAACAAAAGCAAGCGACAATACTAGTTGTAATTAGTACCTAACAATGCCTAATAGTACTCAATAATAACCAATAAGTGCTAATAAAGGGCACTGACAATGATGACAACGGTAATGATATCGTAGACAAAATGGATAGACGAAACGGAATCAAAAGAAATGAATAATAAAACCTAACGTGGTAACTAACAATGGTAAACAAATAATAAAACTATTAATATAACAGTCACAACGATGTTAAGATATTTGTAAAACTCTGGATCGCGAGTGTCTGCGGTGGAGAACGAACGCGCTGTTACCCTTTCCGGGGGCTAACGCGTTCACTACCACACCATGCGGGTGCTTCGTATCGCCTGTCTCTCGGCTAATTCTATCGATTAGCGCCATCAGGAGTCTCCCTTCAACGGGATTCAGGAACAGGCGAAATGAACGACCAGCACCGTGTGAAGGACCTCCATCGTGTGGTGGTGAGCGCGATACTCCCCGGAAAGGACAATAGCATCTTCGTTCCCCACCGCATACACCTGCGGTTCGCGGTTTTGCAAATATCTCAGCATCGTTGTGGTTGCATTTCGCATTACACCCTGCCGTAAAAATTGTAGTAGGCAACAAATAAAAAGTAAAACGTGGTTGACAACAGTCTTATAAGTATGTTATAGTGCTATAATAGAGGATAGGGCTCTCGGTACTAATCAATCTCTAAGGGATGGGCCATGCATACAACTTCATTAAGCATCGTCGGAAGTGACTGAATAAATATCTTGCCTCTATATTGACTCGCGGTGGCCCTCCGGTGTATCAAACCGGTGCTGCTATCCCCTCAGACACGTTTGGTACCAATTTGCCGACACCGAAGGGATGGAAGCTTGGGAACCTGGGACGCGGGGTCGATCCCATGTGTATTTCAGGGCGTCTCCAACCTACACGCGCCCTCCTATAGTCGTAGCAAACAATAATGTCGACATATGAAACAACTACGATGGGAAGAATTTTCGTCAAGATCCCACATGCTTCCTAGACGGATTGCGGACCTCATAAATCTTCGACTAGTAGCTGGAAACTGATTAAGAACAGAACAACTCTGAAGAAAGATAGGGGATTATTTGCGATCAAACCCAAGAACATGACATTTTACAGCTAGCTCGCTTCTCTTCGATGACAAAGAAACAAGAAAAAAGAAAGAAAGTAAAGGGAAAGAAAAAAAGAAATGCGAAAATTAGGGTTTCTTATGAACGTACTGTTTCAAGGGCATCAATACCAATGTGACGTACAAATGTATATCTGGAAAAAAATATGGCAATAGATCAGTAGTGCCAAGGTCATCAGCAAAAGCGGCAAAACATTCTACACTAACCTTGGTACTCTACACCACATATTTCTTTGTTCAAGGCCACTAAACATAATGTTAACTTCGTAGTCACTGCCTATTACTACTTTTCTGACCAGATGTGATATGAAATACAACTACTATGATATTGAGATCTTTGCAAAACTTGGACCTGAGACCAGATTCCAACCTATGATTGCCATTTCCGGAGGCTCACGGGTTACCCACTGCACCACTGAGGTCCTTAAGGCCCTTGGTTTGTCTTTCTCTCACCCAGTTTCTTACCCCAAAGATGCCATCGCCAACCACCCGTTAACGGGATTGATCTGGGGAGCACGAATCAGTTAAGCTGAGGGTATAGTCGAAATCACAATGTTAACTTTCTATTTATTGTCTTTTATAACTTTTCCGGCTGGGTATGGTGTTACGGTATGCCGGTACGACCACTACGATGCTGAGATATTTACTTGGAGCACAAGTAATGCAGATATCACATCAACGCAATGGTCCCTACTATTAACACGGTTTATGAACAAATACAGGAAAACAAAAAGAACTCACATTGTTTTTAGCTGGATTTAGTTTACAATTAGTAAAACCCGAATTTAGCACACATGAACCTATTGAAAAAACTGATAAACAGAAATCACTCAGAGCTATGAAATAGAGGACCCTAGAACAACGAGCAGTAGATGAAGTGCGGACATCGTTCTTAATCACTGAACTATCAAGGCGACAGCGCCAAATTCATAAACACAGGCTGTAAGAGATGGATATGAAACATACGAGACTGGCTTGACCGAGTACTCTATACCAAATTATGTCTGTGTACGAGGAGTTTATGAACAACTGCAAAAAAATAAAAAGAGCCCACATTACATTCAGGCAGATATCTAGAGAATGGTTCACGCAGATATCTAAACATGTAAACCACTTGGATACTTGCATAGTCCGTCCTCACTAGTTGTGCGAGCCCCAGCATAATCTCAATGTTTTCGGAATTTTGCTGACTTAGCCATTGTGGTTCCTTGGAGTCCAGCGCTTAGTCTAGCCAAAGTCTGCCCCTGATCGTCATCACCACAGGCAGTCACAGCCTTTGTGGATCAGAGGGAGATTTGCCACCATGCGACTAGGTTGACATCACGACGGTGGTTGCTCCTGGTATCGGCTTACTCTTAGCTGAGTTTATTGGTGGAAATGCTAGACTCCTCCCAGCTTGGAAGACCCTACTGGGACGATGAATCCCTCCGCAATACATCGCAGCCCGACACCCAGAAACATCTCCCAGCCACGATGAGGCGGCAAACCGTTGGAAGCAGGTTACGTTCAAACAGATATAAGCCAACTGATAATATTGATAAAGAAAAATCACTCGAACGCACGAAACACCTGATCCCAGAAATATGATCTGGAGAAAAAACCTGACCACACGCCCCCGAATGGTCGGCGATCACAAGTCGGCTACCGTATCGCTAGATTCGCAAACAGATAATCTATCTAGGGACCCACTTATAGGCCGCATCGCGTGTGCGGGGCGCGCGCGGTTGTCAGGCGGATGGTGCGTGCTAATAGTTAACTCCGAGAAATCAATTCCGTTTGTTTGCAGCGCGTAGTCCCTGTAACACTACTAATTACATTGGGGGCTAATTATCCAAGGAGTTCTTCAGGAGCATTCCACGAACGTCTTCAGGGCCATCGGCTGGATCCTCGGATCACAGGATATTACCCGGAAGTCAGCACACACACACGCGGGAGCTTCCCTTAAACCATCGTCGTCTATTCTCGTCAAACCATTCCGCTCAACGATGACCTAGTCCGGATATCGCTTTCAATAATGAGCTTTCAAGAGTGAGTTTCGTTTTGTTATGCTTACTTTTTCCGAGCGAAAGCTTTTACTCTTCATTTTCAACCCGTTTCATTTGGTTTTACCGGTTTCGTTTTACATTTGTGTTGGTTGTGTTCCTAGTGCGATCAGGATTACATTTTACTTTGCCCTGTGCTGTCCGTTTGACGAACTGCTAATACACTGGCACTACTAGTTACTTTGAAGTTATCTGTTAGGAAATTGAGGGATACTGTTAGATTTGATCAGTTGAGATGTTCTGTTTTAGCCTAAGGTTTACTCTTTAGCTCACTGAAGCTAAGCAATTTTCGATTTTCAGTCATTTTTCTATTCAATAATGTTTTTCAAGTTATTGTTAGAAGTAGAAGTTATTAGGGATTACATTACTACTTGCTTAGTTACATAATTTTTATTATCATTAGATCACTTTTCAAATGAAACCATTAAAGGAAAAGATTTTATGAGGGTTGGCTGATCAAATCACTGTGAAAGACTGAAGATTAGGTTTATCAAAGAGTTCTGTTATTAATATTCTTTGAGGAAATTTTACCTATAAACTTGGACGGCTTGTAGAAGATAAACTTTCCTTTTGTGTCCACTTATATCACACTATGCTATGGTTTATTATTTACCTTGTATCTACTTGTATATATTTGTATCTATCGTTCTTTATGTTGTTGCTGTGGAAGTAACCCCTTTTAGAGAAGATGAATGGCTTGGATTGGGGTCTGGATTCGTGCTGGACGATGCATTCAAATGCACTAGTCCAATTGGGGCGGACACTTCTCTACAGGTATGTTACTACAATTACAGAGGACACCTTTACTTATACGAATTGAAGTTAATTGGTGTATACTGATTCAAAAGGCTACTTGATTCTTATTTCTTGTATCAGGCGTCGTTAGTAATGTTTTACTTTGTCCAATACTTGTTTTTTAACAACTTTTTCATGTAAGGTGCCTTTACGAGAGCCCACACCTGTCGCCGTTTCGCCTCAAGACCTGATGGACTTTTCCTTTGCTGATAATTCACTTGCCGTTCCGATACGGGATTTCGGGGTACTTTTTAATCAATAGCCATGTTGCCGTTCTGATACTGTTTCCGACTCAGAAAATGAGCGTTTAGTTCCAAAGTGGAAACGAACCGCCTCGACTGTCACCTGTTTCATCATCGTTTCAGTCCATGGCTCCTTTACAAAATATGTCATACGAGATGACGAATGCCACAGTGGTACAGGTATTCCACATGTTGGGTTAACCGCGCTAGTTCTTCTTGGTGTACTGTTTATCTATTTGTTCCAGGAAGATACGTACAATTCTTTTGAACAACCCTCAATAGTTGTGAATGGTCATTATCAGACTATTGAACAGCAGGTTATCCAACCTCAGCAAGGGTTTTTTCAGGTAGTGGTTAATTTCCACATCATTGTACTTTTGCACTCTTTTGTAGTTCGTTCTTCATTTCTTATTCCAACTTTTGAAGTGGACGAGTTGTTTAAGAAATCATGACATCTTTCATGTTTGTTCGCATAGATTGTAAACTGACATTAAATCATCCGTGCTACGACTAGGGGTATACGGTTGTCTTGTCACTTATTTGTTTTTTTCTCTATCTCTAACTTTTGTAAAAATATTTGAGATAAAGGCGAAACGAAGGACTCGCTTGGTGTGGTGGTGAACGGGTCATCCCCGGAAAGGGTAATAGCATGTTCGATCCCCACCATAGGCACCTGCGGTCCGGAGTTTTGCAAATATCTCAGCATCATTGTAGTGTCACACATAATACTCTGCCCTGAAAGATTGTTGCAGGCAGTAAATAGAAAGTTAAAATTCTAATTTTTTTCCTTTTACTCACCATGTTTTGTCCTAAATTTAGATATCGATGCAGTTTTTGTGTCGCTTGTCTTGTGTCCAAGAACTATGTTCAAACTACTATGTACAATTTATCCTACGTTTTGTTGCTAAAAGTTCTTGTTTTTAGAGTCTCTAGTCATCTGTTATTTTTCTTTGAATACTTTGCTCTACAGTTGTGTGCACCTAGACTGTATCTGAAACTCCAATCCAACAAACGGTATCCACTTCAAGTCAACATACATCATCCGGTAACGGTAACACGGCTTCTGGCTCACTCGTGCAACAAATTCTCAGTGCACCATCAACACGTCAAACACCCACTCCTCAACATACTCGCCAACGACCAATTCAACCAAAAACTCACAACAACGGACGGAAGCGTGCTTCTGGTATGAGGATGTTTATGATCGATTCAATGTTAGTACATCTATGGTGGTAAGAAAAAGCGCAGGAGACGTAAGATGTTATGAAGAAGGAGAACTAGACATTCGTAATTACATAGAACTTTGCATCATTTTATCTGGTGATCATACCTGAGTAACAGTGAAGATGAATAGGTGTTTGGGGTTGCCTACTGGCTAGGTCGATGTCGCTTGCCTATTCGTGCAACTCCGTAGTATTTTTAGCTAGTCACTGAAAAGTCTAGGAAGTCGATCACTATTGTTTGAGTTCAAATCTGGCGGGTTTAATAATCTCGATACTTTTTCATATAATAGAATTATGAATATCTGTTGCATAAGCGCTATTTGAAGACTTTGTTAGTAAACCTTCTTTATTGTAGCATTTTTAGTCAATTCTCATTCTGGGATAACGAACAAGTCGAACAAAGTAGAGTCTTCTACCACAAATTCGAATCAAACAGAAGTTCGATTTAGTATGACTGCACTGACACGGGTTTGTGTTTCTCGTTTTCTCCATTTATCACGGAAATTTCCCTTCCGGTTAGATAACTCACATGATGAAAATGTGTTTAGATTACTGAAATTGGTGCGGAGATGGCACAGCTACAGGAACAACAAGATAAGTTAGGCATCAACAATTCGCAAAGGCTGAGTGAACTGCAAGCACAGCGGGCCAGCATCCTCTACGAAGCCTTATGTTCACAGAAGTACGATCGTTTTCTTTTGTTTTATTTTCGTTTTCATTATTTTTTTTCTTAATTGGCATTAAGACATGGTTTTTTACGCCTATTTGTATTCCTTTTTTTGTTCTTGTTCTTTTCTGAACTACTGATGTGGTAACACTTTCCATCTCTTAACACCGCAAAATCAACAAGAGATTGCCTTTCGTTCGTCGTTTCGCTTGCGCTGTTTGACGTTACTACGTCACCTGGTAATTGATCACGGTATCTAGCGTGCGCGAAGCCATCAATGGCCTTGATTGGATTGGAAAGGCCACTTAAAAAGTGCTCCACTCTTCCTAGCGGTGATAATTATGCATAAGAGAAAGTGTATTTTGTACTTAACGTTAATGTAAGTAAGTAATATCGAAGTTGCGACAACCATGGGGTTCAGCTTGACTGTAGTGATATAAATATGTTCTTAAAGAGGATTTAGCACTATTTGTGCCGATTTGGAACTAACGAGGTGCCGTGCTAAGATCATATCAACAGAGCGGAAAGTGGTTTGTTTCATGAATGATCGTTGAAATTGGCCGGGACTGTTTCTTGTTTAGTTCGTCATAATTCTTATCTCTTGGAAACCGTTATTCCATCTCGATAACAACTTGATCTGCATCACTTGTACCGCGTATAATTGCCACGTGATTTGGAGGGGTGCTAACAAAGTTTCTATTCGTCTTAATGCTTGTAGAAGTCCTAAAGTTAGGTTGCAAGAAAGTAAGGAAGAAGTGAAGCTGTAAAGTTGCAAAATGGGTTCTGTCGTTTCCCCGTTACAAAAATCGTGCTTTTTATAAGGTAATCTTGAAGTTTTAGCTGCTAATAGCTTTTATAGAGCGACTGCAGTTAAGACGTATCAAGAGTTCAGCACATCAGATTTCTTTCATCTGAATTTGCTCAGTGTAATGTCTTCCATCTTTGATCGTTGACGACAGGGTTAGAATATGGAATTCGTTCTTACACTGGATTAATACGGAATGTCTTTGAATTACCTCGACGTTACATCACATTTAACATGCTGCTGCAGTATCCTTTCCATTACGTCCCCGATGTTCTTGTAAGCCTCCGAGATTGCTGTACTATGGAACTAATGGCATCTGCAAAGTAGAGGTGTTATAACTAAAGGGCCTTGCGTGTGAGCCCCATACTTTCCAATTTTAATCTCTACGTAACAAACAGGATCTTTAACGAAGGTTTATGGGGTGGAGACAACGTGATTGTTTAAAACTTCAATGATTGTTTTCATCTCAAATATTTTACGTCATTTTTACGTAGACGTTTACGTTTCGTGAAATTCCAGCCTTGTATATCAGCTCATAAGCTTCTGTAGTCTGTCATCTTATAGGGAGTTGAGACCTTTTTATCACTATTGTGATTTTGTATTGGCTGATAATTTGCCTTTTAGATTTTCTAAAAACGGTATGTTTCTCCAAAAGTGGGTCACAGAGGTAAAAAATATCGATTCATAATGGTTTTTGAGTTACAAGTAGAACGATAAGCAGTGTGACCTTTTTGGGCTTCCCGATTATTTGACTATAGAGTTTTGTTAATTTCAAGGTCACTTGATAGAGTTGATGGAGATGCGTGAGACATAAACGGCAAAGATATCTTTTTCTAGACAATATTGCTGTTCTTCTGTGCACTTAACCCTAGGTAAGGCACTAGAAGATCCCCTAGTGGGCGACCTGTGGTATTGTATATAGGAGGGATCCATAGCGTGAGCAGTTTAGCTTGACAATTTGCTTGCAGAATGTAAACTTTTGTATTTATTCTTAGGTCTTCATTATGAAACCGTGTTTGTAAGTTCAAGCCGTTTGTAGATCAGTGCACGTGCTTCCATTTTCCTTGTTTCCGGAGTTCATAATGAAATTGATGAAAGCTTTAAAATTTTGGTACAAGGAAGAATTTTCTACGGAAGTTTTGTGCCATTTGATGTCAGCGATAACGTGTCATCGAGTTTGACATCTTAGCGAGTTAGGAAAAATAACAAAGGTGCTGTGTTATTTTAGAACGATGCAGGCACACTTTTAGATAGACTCATTGCTTCCAGCTTCGGTTCTTAGGATGTTAAGTTATCTCGGATATGTTGACGAATTAGTCGCCTTAGAGGCCTTTCTGGGCATATATTGCTTCATTCTCACTTTTTCTAGCGATATATTTCGACAGTTTTTGGAAATAGATAATGAACATCGTTTTTAAGTGTCGGTGAGACTGTGTTGAGCCAAGTGAAGCAAGTTGCTGCGGCGGCAGCTCCGGCATCCCAAACACGATCAACAGCGCGGGTTCACAGCGGTCATTCATCTCGGCCTACACATTTCGAATCTGCGCCAGAGTCACCTCAGTACCAACCGCAGATGTATTTGGCCAGTCACAATCAATATCCGAGTACAAGTACTGCGCAGTAAGTTCAATGCTGAATCTTCAAATACTGAGTGTCATGGTGCAGTTCTTCAAGTTGAAAATCGCTTATTTCATTTGTTTACTCGCACACAAGATAGCTGGACAAAATGAAATAACATCCTTATTGCTGTTATGTCATGTATTAGTCACCAGTAGTTCCCCTGCTGCCAATTATGCGTCAGAACTTGTGTTGACGTGAGACCTGTATTTTCACCGTTTTTGGCGAGAGAGTAACTAAGGGTAATTCGACGGGCTCTGCTATCGTAAGGATTTGCTATTAGCTTTCGCAATAAGTTATCCGCCATAGCGTTTTAACGTATAGCATTTACAACGTGTGCTAGGTTTCGTGCAAGATCTGAGGCATAAATTGTTGCGTATTGCTTGCATTTGCCATATTTTAGTGACTTTTAGGTTTCAAGAATTCTCCACTGGTTCTGCTAACCAAGGATTAATAGTCCATCAACAAGAACCAGTCACAGTACGACATCAACCTCAGCAACGGATTTACAGAGTAAGTAGAATGTCGTTGTAAAACTTGTGATTATTCATTAGTTTTGGTTGCAGACGCAAAACAGTGCCACAACCGTTTACCACACAGCATCTCAGTTACCAGCTGGAACTGTCTATGTGCAAAATGTTCAACAAGGCACGCAGGCTCAGTTTGCTTCATCACAGCCTACTGTTGGAGAAGTTGTGCGACAACAGCATCAGGTTTGGAGTCACTTCTCTCTGTGGTCTAACTCGACTTTCTTTGCACATTTTTGGTTATCCCGTTTCTCGATAACTAAAGTTTTTGAACACATGGGAATTGAGCAAGATCGTTGAGGAGGCATTTTCTTGTTCTAATTGTGCAAATGTATTTTCTAAAATATTTATACTTTGTGACGTCTTAAATTAAAATGAAAACAAGAGAATGAGAAGTTTTAATGGTGATGTAACTGCCGCTAATATCAATGGAACATTTGGAGGCACTGTCATGTTATGCTTGGTAAAATACAACTTATTCAGTGGCCTGTTAACTCGAGGTATCATCCTCGACGACAAAAAGGTATCAGAATTTCGCCGTAGTGAAATGAACTGGTATCTTGTTTGTAGTTATTTGCAGATAATAACGGTTTTAATCTAACTCGATAAGCGTCATTACATTAGGACTGGACTATTTAATGTTTGAAGGCCGAGCTATTTTTCGCTAGATTTAGACTAAAATCAATATCGTACGTCGCTATGCTAAACTGTGTTAAGTAGATTAGTCGAAGATTTAAGCTGTAGGATGCGGTAACAGTCGTAAAGTTTTCGACTGGAAAAATTCTCTTCTATTCGAATAAAAATACATTCATAAAGTTTGTTACTGCTTTTCTCAAAAACGTCATTTCTAGCAACGTGCTCTCAAGAAATTTGATGGTTACAATTTTATTATTCGAAATAGGTGCCGATGTAGTCTATAAATATTTTTGGAAAAGGTACTAGCTCGTTTTTCACAGTTCCTTAAAATTCAGGCTTCTAGAGCTTGGAAGTCTTTTGAGGACATTTTCGGTATGTTTTGTTTGTTGGAGATTTCTCACGCAGTTTTTTATCAAGTATTACACATTGAAATTAGAGCATTAATTAAGACAGGTGAACTCCATTAAACTCAGTTTTCCTTCTTTCAGTGAGAGCGCAATTGGTGTATGAGTGCAAACAGCACTACATTTTTTCTGTGAGGTCTTTGATTTTTACCGTTTTTGATGAGAGGAGTATCCATGGATAGCACAATAGGCTTTACTATGTTGGCTGGGCGAGCTTACGTGTACGGGAATTTTACCGGCATTTTGAAAACTGCATGTGGATTGTATTTGTTGGAAACCACTCCCAACATTCATGTATTTACAGGGCTTTGCTTGACTCGATCTGCGGAGAAAAAAATCTGTTGACACGTAGATACATCCATTCATGAATGTGATCTTGTGTTATATAAAAAACAAATTCTGGCTCAATGAATCCATGGAATTCGTGTCGTAAGTGCACTCACATGCTAAGTATACGATCGTTTTCTGTCCTTGAGTGGCCCGTTTGCGTGCGATACACATCCCAGCGAATTACCAGTATAGGATTCCTCACGTGAGAGGGGTACTTGGGAAGCTGTGCAAAGCAAACATAGTGCTTGTGTTGGGTTATTTATTTTAAACAATTGTTCTTTAGTTGCGGCACGTCTCTGGAGCACAACAGGTGATCGTGCAACAAATGCCTCCTCCACAAGTGGTGGTAGCTGCTGGTGCTCAAACAGTGGGTGGTGCTCAAATTCGAACACAGATTGTTCAACATTCTCCCTTGCCTGCTCAAATTGTTCTTGCACCTGCCGTTCCGCAGACACATCAAGTGGTAATTTCGTATTTTTATCATTTTCTTTTACACTTCCGAAGTCAAGTTTTTATCGCTATGTAATTTCCCTTCATCATGATTAAGGTGGTAGTTGCACACCGGTCTTCTCCGGCACAGACAGCGAAGCGCTTGGAAGAGAAGCGTGCTAGTCGTCTGAGTAGGTTGGTAGAACGCTGCTGTTATTGCTTTATTCATAACTGATTTCGCTTTCTTCTTATTATTTTTGAAGAGCTGTTAGGTATAATGTTTAAAATGGTGGCATGTGGCGAAATATTATTTTATCTGGAATGTTGCCAGTTTTTGATCTTGAATCTTATTTAACTTTTACAGTCTTTTTAAAATGATTCTATGTTGCTCTATATGTTCTTATAAATTGGCCTTGTTGAGCTCATGCGAGGTTGGTATAAGTTGTCGTTGTTGTTGTTGTTATTGTTATTGTTGTTGGTCGATGGTTGACGTTTCGGCGATTTCGCCCTTCTCAGAGCCTGGACGTGGTTTATATACAACAATAGCTCAATAATTCAGTGGAAAAAAACCATAGTGTTAATGAAGATTGACATGAATAAACGCCATATTGATCAAAAACTATCACCGTGCTGCTCCGAGTGGGACTGCCCGTGTGTTGTTCACGTGGGATAGCGGACGAGGCACATCCTGGTCAAAAAACTGTTTTGAAATAAGGCGCTAGATCACATGTGATAGTGAGGCATTCGTCCTTCCTGTTCATCTTTGTATTTTTGAAATTTGTCCAAGTCGCCTCAAGAGTCTTATTCGCTGACATTTTCATTCCTTTTCTAGGACCTGGACGGTCGCTTCAAAATCATCGCCATTGTTTTGTACTCTGTATGTACATAAAGGAGTACTTTGACGAATTTTAACTTTCCCATCTGGATGTTTTGTATGCGGACACAAAGCAGTCTACCCGTTTTTTAAAGTATTTTTCACCGCATTCCTCACACGAGACCAAGTATATTGCATCTGAAGTCACGCAATCTCCATCTTTTCTGTTAGCACAAATAATAACACAATTTTCTGAACTGCACAAACGATCATAGAGGCGGTTGCGAACTAACTGACGGCTTAAGGTAATTGGGTGGGTAGTCAGTAATTGCCACATAATTTTCAAGGCCACTTTTTTATGCACCTGTTAATGGCGTAACTTATTTTATTTCTTGTGAAGAGTAGCGGGATCTTGCTTGGTTCGAAACATTAGGGTGGGAGCAAACCTACGCTTTTGTCTGACCCGAGTGGCTCCTGCTTCGTACTCACTGGAAGTGGCTTTTTTGTGTTAAATTGAGCTATTCCCTCCTTTTCTCTTCTCCTGTGCGCACACTTTTAGCTGTTCTATAAATGTTTTTGATGAATTTTTCTTTTATGTGTGAAGGTTGAGAGGAGAGATAGTGCTCTGGTATATTTTTACTACTTGGCTTATCGCATTAGCTCAACAAGGTTAGTTCATAAGAACATATAAATAAACAAATCGATTATTTATGCCGAGTTTTACAGAAAGTTGGTCTTTCGTGTTGTTAAGAGATTCTGTTGCTCTTAAGGTCTGCTCTTCACTCTGGTTCCCAAATTTCTTTCATTACTCACATCTGCCATATTGACCATACTGATACATATGGGTTGAAGTAAGTAGTAAACCATGCCTAGTAAGCCATAACAGTCGTTTAAAATTTCAGCATATGGTCATTTTTATGTTTGCGGTAGTCCAAGTTGTTCTTGTGAAAGTCGCTCACAATCGTTGCACCTAAACTCATTGACAGCATTACGGGCTCGACAGCACAGGCATGGTAGATCACTGCAAGTTATTGTATAGGCCGGATACGTATTCAGTCGAGCATTGCCGTGATTAGTGAATTGGCGTTCACGGAGGGATTGACCAACCCTTTGTTCTTCTTTTCTTGAGTTACACAAGGCGATTGTTGTGTTCGTCTAGAATGTCATTTGATGGTCAAAGATCGCTACCCTATAATACGATTGCATGCGCTGACGTGCAATCTAGCTCCTTTGTTGTTAGTACTTCTCATCATGTGATAGGAACACGTCTCAAGGAAGAGATATTCTTCGCACGTTTGGGCTGCACAATCCAGTTCGACGTCCGAGCTAGATACATTTCAAAAGAAGTTTAAGCGTTCTGTAGGGGATGGGCAGAAAACTCAGCCCGTTTAACATGTAAACTCATTTTTAGCTGCATAACGGAGTGCATGAAAGACTGATGAGTCAGAGAGGAAAACTGGGGATATCAGTCTCATCACTTGATTGGAAACGTTTCTTCTTAGTCCCTATAAGTATCCCTGTCGCGGAGCGCCCTACATGGGAGCTTGACAAGTGATGACGGGTGTCGGAAGGATTTTGAAAGGAACAAAAAAAATGATAATGTCCGAAAGACACACCCCTAAATAGTGTTTATGAGGTAAATAGCGGTGTGATAAATATGAAAACAACATAACATAGAGTATTCTGTGAGAGATAGGGAATGCTCTTTATGTGCTCTTCTTTTTCTGAACAATTTCTCCGTCGCCTCTCTCCACATTCATTGAGCGCTCCAAGTCGTATGACGTCATCTCTGTGATCCAATAACTATCCATTTTGATTCGTTTGTTGCGTTACAAGGGGCGCATGTGGTGCAGTGGTTTGAGGCACCACTGCGACACACACGTGGTATCGACTTCCTCGTCCATGGCCCACCAAGCCTTCCATCCTTACAGGGTCGGCAAATTGGTATCAGACTTGTCTGGAAGGATAACAGCACTGGCTCAATACATCGGTAAGCTATCGTGGGTCATTTCAAATGGCAGGTATGCATTCAATCACCTCCAAACGATGCTTAATGGAGTTGAATGCATGACGCCTCCCTCAGGGGCTGATCAAAGCCGAGTACTTTATCCCTTTTATCCTTTATTGTTGCTTCACTATGGATTCTTTCCACCATTTCATGAACCAAATTTTCTTTCGTTTTGTGTAGAATCATACCTTTTCCGTACCGAGTTTTTTGAGCGTCTTTACTTAATAGGTATTTCTGGAAAACATGACGATGTAGTCGAAATAGAGAAGGTTTAATATGAACTTACTAATAAACTTATCCGCTTTTGTCGCAGTTTAGTGACTCCGTTGTTAGCTGTGGTTTTGCAGGTTTAGCGAAATAGAACACCTTTTAATGTGGAGGTGATTCGAAGGCGATGGAACAGCGCTATTTGTATGATGGTATTGCGTTTATAAATGGTTGGAATTCCTATGTAGGATGAGTGCCGTCCTTGATCTACGGGCGCTGATAGAATTATGTTTTCCTTCAGTGCTTTGATAGTTTTGTAGATCAAGAAATAGAACAGGGTAGATGGTGTTTCCAACAGGTATTTGTTACACTACGAAGGTTGCAGATATCATCTATACAACAGAACATTTCTCGGTAACAAGGTTGCTGACCCTGTTGAGTTCCATCGAAAACTCGTGATTTGCTCGATGACTATTGTGCCCAGCTCGTAGGTCACACGTAACAAGCATGTATGGTGGTAGCTACAAAGATTCTTTCGGTCGTCATTTCTGGGCACGATGGGCCTACGTAGAGGTGATCCGCAGTTTTTACTTTGAGTTATGTTCTCATGTGGATATCTAGAACAGTGTATATTTCGTCGTTTTCAGTTCAAAGAAAATCGTCTAGTTGTGGCCATCCTCATAGTGGTCTTGATTGCAACTGAATTACAGAGAAAGGAATCCTGCGTGACTTCCTGTCTAACTAAGATTTTGTTGTTTAAAATGGGGTTTGCTCTACAGATAGGACAGAAAGTGGTCATTTTGGTTATCAATTTTAAGAAATATGGAGTTTAGGCTCTGTTTTTATAGCGATGGTGGTAGCATAATGTTCACGTGGGTCCCGAAGCCATTCTTAGTAGGTATTCTTTTTTAAGTTACTGTTTGTTAAGAGTTTTCTTTCTGGTCTATTGTATGTAGCCGTGCAGACATCTGCAGTTAGCCAAAACGTCAGCTATTGTGGTTAGATAGTGTAATACCAACTTGATGTCTGCTCATCAAAACCGTGAATTGTTGATCATGTATTAGAATCAACAGTTCACTCTTTAAGCCTCTGTTGCCCACGCACAGGTAGTTTCTATGCCGTATCTTCGGCGTATAATTTCAGTCGAATTCCATTGCCATCTTGGCTTAGAATGAGCTTTGTCGGTTGAAATACAGGCAACAGATTCTACTGCTATTGGAAATGACACAATTTCCCTACTCCATTACGAAAAAGGTTCGGGCTTCTGAAATCTTAAATTTGTTTTTTTGTCTTCTTCGTCGAGAGTGGTATCTCGGACACAGAGACGATGGAACAACGAGGAAATTTGATTCCAGTCAGCAAGACAGGTAGTATACGTTAATGCAATGCAAATAGCTCCGCTGAGCTATTCTTACTAGAAACTTAAGTTTTTTAAACCGTATTACTATGATTACTATCTCAGTTATCAAAGAAGAATGATTCAGAAATGAATATGGAAATGGAAGCTTTTTGAAAACTGAAAATGCGAACAATCTTTAATGGGTTAGGGTGATTTCTTTTTGCAAAATGATACTAAACACGGGTATCACGAAGTGAGTCGCATATGGCTGACCATGAAAACTATACTTTGTTTCCGCTTTGTTTTCCTTATGGAGCAAAATGAAAAATTGATTTTCTCCTTAGGGCAAGTATTTAAAGCCTTGGGACATTGTGTTAGTGCACATGTTAGGTTATGTTGCTTGTTAGCAAAGTATTTGTGTAGGAATAGTAGCGAAATATTTGATTGCATGGTGACTGATCACATGAAAGGATTTTTATTTGTTAGAACCAATTTCACGTGAATGGCGCATATTTTTAGGTTGAGGAACTATTTTGACAGTCTCCATGAAACGCTTTCTAACCCGGACACCGAAAGTCCGTTTTCTGACCTTCGCGATGTCTTACAGCGGTTATTGCCATATCACACCTATGGAGAACCAAACTTTAGCGAGGAATATTTGGAGCAATGTAAGTTTTTTTCGTCATTTTAATGTTCAAACAGAATTTCACATGTTATTAGGGAAGAACTGATAAGGGTAGACAGGGAAAATTGTTTTGTTCAGGCGATCAATATAAGATCTTCATATTTCGTAGTTTTTATTACTTACAGTCGATTCCAATTACTTGCGAACCACCATTAACTTGATGGAACAACGAAAACGCTTGGAAAAGCGATTGCGGAAAGTCTTTTACGACGATGCACTAGTTTGTAGTTTTTCTTCTTTCGTGATTTTAATAGCACTCAATGGCTGTGCACCTATAGATAAATCAGGCATTGTTTTCTTGATTTTAGCACGGTACCGAGGTTGAAGAGCGGAATTTGTTGCTATATCTCGACGGTGAATACGAAAGGCGAAAATTGGAAGAGGAAAGAGAGTTTGTCAAACAAGGCAACGTTGGTTAGTATTCACTTGTTCGATCATGTGGTTTTGAGGACAATAACTGCGAAATGCCTTAAACTAGATTACTGGCCATGAAAAGTATGGAAGGTGTTTCCTTTATGTGGAAATTAAGTAAAGGCATAAGTAAATCATGTTTATTGTGGCTTATAGTTACACATATGTGAGCCATCTCAGGATTGGAGTGTCTTGGAGGTATTATTTCAGTATTGAAATTTATTCGTTGCATTTAGAAGCGTTTGTACATGATAGCCCTATCGTGGCTGCTTTGCGTGACTCAAATCGTGAACCAGTTGAAAAATCTGGGCAAGTGACCTCTTCATCGAAATCGGCTTCGAGATCGGTGATTCAACAATATGAATATCATCCGTTTGAAGAAATTCCTATTCCATTGTCGCCATATAAATCACCGTCTCCATTTAAATCACCTACCAGTAGCATTAGGTTAGTTGTTTTTGTTAAAAAATTCGTCGGAAGGCAGACTTATTGCTCTGTTCAGATCACTCTCACCAAATAAGTCACCATGTACTGTTGCATACTCTCCCAGAATCCGCACCCGCAATGCTTCACAAACTAAGCATTTATCGCCTACGCCAGCAGTCGAACCACCGCAGACACGTCCATTCTTCAAAGCACGTCCTACTTCGGAGTCTGACTTGTGTACTTGGAGGTGCATACCTTTTACAAACGTATTTTAGAAGCTTTGTTCTCGTGTACCTTATAAGATTTTACGCACATCACGTAACAGTTCTCCTTTTATTATATTTCTTTGTTTAGTTCGTCGTCAAAGTTTGATGAGCAAAAAGAGGATATTCTTCGTCCATTACCACCTCCTCTGCCCAATGTTGCTACCCGGAGAGTTACACCTTCGAGGTATTTTGATGAATTGCAGTATTCATTGTAGATAATAACATTTAATTAATTAATTTTGCTGTTTCAGGACAGTGGCCGATAAAGATAGTTCATCCCTCGTATCCTCGTCACCCAGTCCTTCACATGTATCACATGAGAAGACGGAAAATCCCTCATGTGTTTCCACACCTGGCCGTTTACCAGCGAAGAAAGAATTGCTATCAAGAGCAAGGCAAGGTGTCCCAGCAGAAATGCGTTCGCCACCTGCGCATTCAAGCTGCACTAATAGTGCTTTGTTTGTTCGGAATTCGGTAGAAGATTACGAATCAGATGGATCAGCATCGCCAGAGCTTGGAGTGGATGATGTTGTTGTTCCACGTCCTCCTACACCTCCAGTAAAGTCTAAACCTCCGACTCCGCAAATAAATGTTCCTTCACCGGCAAAACCTGCGGTACCACCTTCGCAGAAGATACCTCAGCGAACTACCATTCCAGTACCTCCACTTCTTCCGCAGAGAAGAGAGGTATGTTTTATGTTATCATTTAAATGATGCCCTTTTTTCGTAATAAGGGAACTCGTGTATTAATACCAATAGTAATATTCTTTTTAGAAGTTGAATAAAAGCCCACATCGGACATCCCTTCACGTTGCATTGCAAGAGGATGTGAAGCCATTGCTTAAGCGTGAAGAGGATAAACCAGCAGAACGGTTTCGATTCAAACCTCAGGTATCTTTTTCCGATTCGTATGGTCTGATTCATATCATACATGCCATGTAAACCGTAGAAATCGCTGAAAAGTAGTTAGTTAACGTGGTTATATAGTATATACGACTTATCGCTTGAACGATCTCTTTTTGCCAGTAGAATTACCATTTCGGGAGTCTTTGGTAGAAATTCGGCGCACAATTGCACTTTTTGTTGTTTGATCAATTGTAAGCTTTTTTTTAATAAATGAACATCAAAGATTATTACATTCTTTTAGGTTCCACGACCCACTCCTGTATCACCTTTCAAATCCGTTACTCCTAAACAGGAGTGTCCCATTGAACACAATCTTGTGGGAAAAGGTGTAAATTCTGGAGAAGTCAAAAGCCTGACAAACAAAAAGGATCGGGTGTGTATAAGTGTTCTGTGACTTGAATTTGCTGTTAGGTTATATTTTATCTAAATATTATATTACTTAAAAAATACTACTAGCTTGCGTTTAATAGGTTGATTTAGGTCTCTGTTTGTGATAAACCTCCTCCAATACGCTTGAAATTGAAGCTGGATGGCAAAGAGGTTTATATAGAAAATAACGAAAACAGTGAGAAAGGCCACGAAAAGAAGCAGAAAAAGCATAAGAAGAAGAAAAAGGAGGGACATAAAAGACATAGTGAAGGTTTCAAGCACATAAAAGACCAACAACGTCCACAAGAGCTGAGGAAGTCAAATGTGAAAAAAACAATGAACGATGCATCACCGCAGGTACTGTTTCCAAGTAGTTTTTCGTATTCTTGTTGAGCAAACGCAAGGTGTTGTTTCATTCTTTATTCACGAACAAGCTGATGTTTCGGCGGATTTCGCCTTCCTCAGAGCCTGGAAAGGTCAAGTTGACAGCAGTCTATTCAGTCAAACACTATAAATTTTTTTCACCATTATTTCCAAGTGTTCTCAGCTTTTTGCCTGTTTTGTCGTTTCTAATATTGTACTGATACTAATTTTACAATCTTTTCTTTATATCTGTTTTAAAGGAAGTGGTTGCTGTTACGTCGAATGGGATACGAATGAAGTTGAAATTTGGACTGGGTGCTAACATCATGAATTCTATTACTCGACGTGTATCAACGAAAGAATCTGAGGAACCCAAATTGGTGCATAAGGTCTTCGACTCACAACCTTCTACGTCTAGAGCATCATCACTTGTTTCGGTAAGACGTTTACGTTGATTAAGACAGTTATGCTGTTTCTAATATATATTTCTATAAGCTGAAGCTACGTCATGGTCGTGGGTTAATTTTGTGTTTTCTTCAATTTAGATTGATGTTTGGAAATGTGGGAAGAAGTATATTGTTTGATGGGCAATCGTAGCCATTCTTCACGAATTGTGTAGGCCTTTGCGCGATTTCTATTCAGCTTTTTTCTACTTGACAAAAGTTCCCTTCTACTGCAGTCTCGAAATAGCTGTCAAAGGCGTTTATTGCAATAGGTAATCGAGTACACTTGTAAACTGAGGGAAAATTTGGGTGATTACCTACACGGTCGCAGTTTCTGGACTAGATTTTTTGAGTGAGGAAGGCTAGTTCCTCAACTCGAGTGACATTATTTGGGAGACGAACTTTTCATTCTAAATCGCATTTCAACAAAGGAAACTGCTTAACATCGATAAGTACACGCAAAAGACCGACTTTCTATAAACCTCGGCATTGATAGTTGATATATTTATTTGTATGATCTTATAAACTGGTCTTATTTAGCAAGTGCGAGGTTGGTATAGGTCTTCGTTGTCGTTGTCGTTGTTGTTGTTGTTGTTGTTGTTGTTGTTGTTGTTGTTGTTGTTGTTGTTGTTGTTGTTGTTGTTGTTGTTGTTGCTATTGTTGTTGGTTGATGGCTGACGTTTCGGCGGTTTCGCCTTCCTGAGAGCCTGGACTTATTTTATACAAGAATATTTCAATTATTCGGTGGAAAAGAAGCTAAAGTATCAATAAAGATCAAAATTTTAAATAGATGCCGTATTGATCAGAAAGGCCACTCACAGTGATGTAACGAGTGGGACTGGCCCACGCGTTGTTCACGAGGGGTCGCGAGCAAAACACACCCAAGGGTGAAAATATCATTTTGAAATACCGCGCCAGGTCACGTGTGATAGTGAGGCGTTCGTCTTTCCGGTTCATCTTTGGATTTCTGAAATTTATCCAAAACGCCTCAGGAGTTTTGCGCTTTGATGCTTTCGATTCCTGCGCTCGGATCCGCACATTCACTTCAAAATCATCGCCGTTGTGCTTTTGTGCCCTATGCGTACCTAGAGGAGTGTTTAGACGGATTTTAACTTTCCCATCTAGATGTTCTTTTATGCGGGCACAAAGTGGTCTACCCGTTTCCCCAATATATTCCTCACCGCATGCATTACATGAGATCAAGTATATTATACCTAAACTCATGCAATCCCCGTCTCTCCCGTTAGGACAAATCATACAGTTTTCTGAGCTGCACAAACGATCACAGAGACGGTTTCGAACTAACTGGTGGCGTAGGGTATTGGGTGGGATGTCAATAATCGTTACATAATTTTCAAGACCACTTTTTCTTAAGCACTTTTTAAAGGCGTGGCTTACTTCATTTGATATGAAGGGCAGCTTAAAGGAAATCCTACTTTCGTCTGAAATATTATTTTGGGAAGCTACCCAACGTTTTCCTCTAACCCGAGTGGCTTCTACTTCATTGTCATTGGAAATGGCAATTTTTCGTGCCAGGCTTCGCGATTCCTTCCTTTCCTCTTCTCCTGTACACACATTTTTAGCCGTACGATACATGTTTTTTTGTGCTTTTTTCATGTGTGAAGGATGAGAGGAGAGGCAGTGGACTAGAATGTTTACTACTACTGCGATACCGTTTTGTTACATGGCGACTTACTGAGAGCTTTATTTGGATGTTTAAGAATGGAAGCCAGTTTTAGATTGGTTTTTCGTAAATTTTATATACTCTAACTGTCAGCTTAATAATTCAAAGCACTCATCCATCTGTTCTTGTGTGGAACAGACGATGAAGCGGTCGTCTATGTATCGACAGTAGAGTACGGGTCGGTGATCGAGAACTGGAGCTTCCACCTTATACATGAAAGCGATGGTAAGGCTTGGTGCTAAACGCTGCCCCGTCGCCAACCCTCTAATTTGTGCGAAATATTTTCCAGACCACCTAAAGATTGAACAACTAATACACTGTTTTAAGAGGGTCATTAGTTGTGCAATCGACAAGCCGTGCATTTTTATTTTCTTTTCATGCTCTGCGAGCAACTCGAGAATGCCTTGCATTTACGGAGTCATTCGACACGTTGGTATAGCGTGAAGTAACATCGAATGACTCCATCACATGCGTGCTGTTTGGTTGCGCGCAGCGTATGTGGTCTAGAAATATTTGGTGGTGGGTAAATCGGGTGGAATGAATTTTAGCAACTGGGTTAGGATAAGGTTTAGGAACCACGTTATTCTATCCGTTGGCTCGCCTATATAACTGATGATAGGTCTAACTTTCTCTAAGTGAACTCTAAGTGATGAAGGATTTGTTGACGTAATGTCATCAGTTGAAGTAAGCTTATGTGTTTTAATAAGCAAGTAGAAGACAGGGCAACTTGGGTGTTCGTTTTTAAGACAAATGCCTCACTATCTCACGTGACCTGGCGTCTTATTTCAAAATGATATTTTGACCCCTTCGTGTGTCTTGCTTGCGACCCCACGTGAACAACACGTGGACCAGTCCGACTGGTAACATCACGGTGAGTGGCCTTTCTAATCAATATGGCGTCTATTTGAAAATTTGATCTTCAGTAATACTTTAGCCTTTTTTTCACCGAATAAGTAAAGTGTCCTTGTGTAAAATAAGTCCAGGCTCTGAGGAAAGCGAAACCGCCTCAACGTCAGCCATCGGCCAACAACAGCAGCAACAAAAACAAGAACGAGAACGAAAACCTATACCAACCTCAAATTTGCTAAATAAGATCAGTTTATAAGACCACTTTATATAAATAAATAATTTGATAAGTATACTATGCCAAGGAGGAAAATAATGGATTAATTTTGTCAATTGCCCACAACTGTCTTAGAATGCCAGTAATGTTCCAATTTTTTTTCTTTCTAGCCTCCACAGCCAAGGATCCCGCGGCTAAAGATACGTATTGGCCATGATGCTCCTCCATTGGTGATTGCACCTGTGAGAGGAAGTCCTTCCGTCATCCCAAATACTCAACCTGTAAACATAACCTCGCTTAGCACATTAATGAGTGGCTCCAAGTCAGCACAAGTGTTAAGTACTACACAAGTATCAGCAGAACCTCTCGCCGTTGAGTTTTCAGGTAGATTAATATTCGGGTTTATAGTATCGATTCAAAAAGTTTCTCCTTTATTAGATGATTCCGACACGGAAGCCGAGCGATTGAGGTGTGCAACTGATGAAGCACTGCGAGGGATGTCCAGTTTTTCTGGCTTGACTCGCACAAATTCGTCGGTTTTACCATGGTCTACGCAGGAAGCGCCATAACGTTGTAAGGTTTGGAATCTTCAACATCACACCCAGTGAAATGACCAGTTAAGTTGAAGTTGTGGCGTTATGATCTCTCCGTATACACACAGTCTGTTCAAAATTGTGGTAGTTAACTCGTGGTCTAATCATATACTTCTCATGTCTCATGCATTAACATCCTCGTTTACTCGGTGCCTAAATCTTGTGATATATGATTTATTATGTTACATTACTCGAGAGTGCTACACTAGTGTTAAGATGTTAGGTTCTCGTTATGATTGGTGCTGTTTCTCATACTAGTTGCTAGAATAGCGTCATAAGAGACTTAAAACTCTAATACGGCCTTTGTGAAATGTTTAATTATATTATTTATCTGTGCAGCCTCTCTTAGGACCGCTCTTTATCCTTTTATTTCTAACTACAGCGGTGCCCATATATTTACTTAAGCTCTTCGATCTCGCCATTTGCACTCGCCATCGATTTTGATAAAAAGCGCTCCCACATAGTTTTATTTAACGGTGAGAAAAGTTGGGAGAAATGTTTTAGGGTTACCAGGGGATATCTATCTACATTTCAATTCTACTGACATTTAACAAAATGTATGGTTGCTACTGTAGTTCACATGCTCATGTCACTTATCACTTTTTTTTCTTTTATGGTTTCAGACTGATTCGCTCTTCTTTTTTCGCATGTAATCTCGTTCTTCGATTTCTTTTTGTAGAGAGAACATTCTTCTCGTTGAAAAGCTGTTATTCATCATTCTTTATTGATTTCACGTCCAGATACCCTTTTTCATGACCAGATAAAGATCTGGTCTGTTTTTTTTACTTCATCAGTGCTGTTTCCGAGATCTCAGAGCCAATCCTGGGCACCTAATGCATAGTATCCGAAGAGTTCTTTATGCTAAAATTATATTAGCAGCTTGCATATTGTACTGTAGTGGCTTTCGTTTGTTCGGAAATTTTCAACGCCTGGTGTTGATAACCGCACCAAAGCACATCCAGTCACTCAATACTTTCATTCTTATTTATAGTTAGGTACAGTTTACATGACAGTTTGCTCCTCACACTGTATTATCGCATTTTCTAGTTCCGGTTATCAGTATATCTTTCCCTAGCTCCCGCTCCATGCATTTTGCTTAAACGCAGATGAATGTAGGCGGTCCCATCTAGGACTATGTGATATGGAGTGTTAACTGATGTTAACTCTCTAATATGAATGAAAGGCTCTCGGATCAAAGCGTTTCCTTGATCTGTATAATTGGACATTGTGATCGATTTATTAAAATGTTATTGTTTGTAAAATAAAATTAAATGATATGATTGGCACGTCAGTTGATTGTTTGCGAAAAATTATGTATTATAAATGTGATATAAATCTTTCATGAAGATGTCTGGCGTTTTTTTTTTTGTGTTTCTAGGTGATTAATAAATTCGTCTTAACAGAGGTTCTGGGCATAAGTTGATGAAGAGCTAGTAGAATGTGGTAATAAAATGTATTTGCTCCTTTCTCTTGAATCTCTTTGCCACTACCTAATTTACTGACAACCACTCTTTTTACTTCTGCCAAAAATATGTGTAGTTAAGTTTATATTGGCTAGTAAATAACATTAGGTAAGTTTAAGATCCTACAACACTTGGGACTTCATTATTTACTAACGCGACTTTGCCAATCTCGGTGTCAACAATATACATTTTTGTTTAGATTGTTCAGC